CCCTTCCGACCCTAGAAACTATGAAACTATGAAACCCTAATTTTCTAGGATTCTGTGGTTCTGTTAAATGTAACATCTCTAAGTGCTTTGCTATCTGGTGCTTCAGTGCTTATAGTTAAGCACTTAAATGCTTTGCTGAATTGAATCCCAAGTGTCTACTGTTCTCCATCACTGCATACACTCACTAATTACAAAGATTTCAATTTATTAAAGACAGTGATGTTTCAAATCTTATTGTGGAACTTTGTACATTATAGTTCACACATGCATACTTGTAAGTGTGATATGTCAGAATAAAGTCCACCAGTCCACTCAGAGCAAGATCAGGAAGAGGCACTTTTGCTTGCCTTCCAACTTTGTGATATGGAGCTGAGGTGGAGTTGTTCACCTGGACTTCAGCAGCAGGCAAAGTACAGTTCCAAAGAATTAGCTCATTTATTTGTGTGCTTTATTTATTTTTCAAGATTCACTTGAAGGGAGAAGCAAGCTGCCTGAAGGAAGAGGTAAGCTGCCTGCCTGGTGTTCTTTTCTCTAGATCTTTTCTTAATAATTCATAATAAAAAGCTTTCTCCAAGATTTGAACAGGGCCAGTAAATAGTCCCAGTGTGCACTGTAAATATGGGAAGGAAATAAAAGATTAACATTCAAAAGCTGGAGAAATGAATAAGAAGCACTTGGAACTAGGAGTTTGGCTGAGTTCATGATAGGTATAGGGCCAAAGGCAAAATTTGGATCTCTGTCTGAGTTTTCCAGTCACCGGGGTGTTTGGGCTGTGGGTTTTGATTAAACTAATTTTTAATTTAAAGACAGAAGAAAACTTTCAGGGAAAGGGATGCATGACAGTGGAAAATGAACATACCATGGAGCTGCCTGCTTTTAGTTTCTTAAGGGTTGAGTTTTGCCGGAGGTAATTTTCCAGTTCATTAAGACACTGATGTCAAACAATTGACTTCAGACAGTTCCTTCCACATATAATAGGATATTGTATTGGTAATAGTCAATCAGCACAATGGTGAGTAGTTTGGAACAGAGTGGAAAATTATACATTTTACTCTGACTCTGTATGACAAGTATACAATTTATTGATCTATTAAAAATAATTCATTTTGCAGGCCTGAATTTTATAGCATTGATTTATTTTATGCACTTTTTTAAAAACGTGGTCAATAATTTTCCACTTTGGAATCTAAAAGCATTCTCTGAATCTCACTTATCAGGTTCTGCTTCTGCTTTAAACATTACTGCTAAGTATAGATGTTCAAAAAGCCTGGGGTGAATCAATCAAACTTACATGGCTTTTTGTAAATGGTTTAGGTTAGTTTGGGAGTGAACAGACCACAAGTTTGCCTTTTGGTGGGAGGGGCACACAGGCTGCCTGCACTGGCCAAGGCTGGCAGGTTGGGGGTACTCCTGCATATCTCCCAATGGGCTCCCCAGGCTGCCGGAGATTGCTGAGCACACCCAAGTGCAACCGATTAGCTGGGCCACCCCTGATTGGCTCCTGATTGGATATGGAGGAGCATGTCCTCTCTCCCCCATCATCATCCACCACAGGCATCTGTTGACTGCAGACAGTTCACCCATCCCCTGCAGCCTGGCTGTGCTCCCTGGTCCCAGTCATGTAGGGTATGGGGGGGGTCTCAGTGGGCTCCTGCACACCCACCTTGGGACTCTTATACACCTGTGAGTGGGCACAGCCCCAGGCAGCATGACCAGACTGCAGGGCACAGCCAAGCACCCCTTCCTCCCTCTCCCCTTGTCATCGTTAGCCACTGACATGTCATCTATAGTCAAGCACTGGAGACATACATGCTCACCTATCCCCTGCAGCCCAGTTATGCTCCCTGTGGCTGTGGTCACTCAGAGGGGTCAAGGTGGTCCCTGGGTGGGCTCCCACACACCCACCCACCCAGGGGCCCCTATGCTCCATGAGTGGGCACTGCCCCAGGGAGCCCAACTGGGCTGCAGGGCATGGCCAAGCACCCCTTCCCCCTGACTCCATCATCATCAGCCACTGTATTGACTTGGCTCTAAGAGACTACGGGCAGGGCCAGCTGAGCACTCAGCTGGAGCAGCTGAGCATGGGGCAAGTGATAGCACAACTCCCTGCGAGGGGGAGTTAGTGAGGGGGTGCAAAGGTGCCTCGGATACTGGTGGACAGTGACCTAACATGAATTGATGGGGGATCTGGTACAGAAGTTTGATTCCCTAGTCTAACCTAAATTAATTGAGTACACACTGATCTAGGTCTACCTTAGACCCGGTTCTGCCATTTTTAAACCAGTCTGTATGTGCCAATCTTCTGTACTGTTACAGGTTTAGATCAGTTTCTCAGCACTTATGCTGGGAAAAAGTGTAATGTCTGCGCCTAATCTAAAGAGAATGGTGATGGACTATGGGGAGCCTATCCTGCTTCTGGAAAGAAAAGAAATTTGGCACGCTTGCACTGATCAGAAAGGCTTCTAGAACTCCTATGTTTTGCCTTCATTAGAGCTTTTAATGGGGGGCCCAGCCACTGACTGAGTTCAGCTGCAGTAAATTTATCCTTCGTGAGTATGGGAAACTTTTGTTACCCATATTCAATCAAAGCTGCTATTGAAGTAGGAACTTCTGTTGAAGTAGGAACTCCTGTTGAAGTTAGTGGGTATTTGCCTATGTGAGGACCATAGCTTTTAGTTCAATAATAAGACCGAGCTCTCTAGTCCTTCATGCTGTTTGACAATTGTTAATATAGGACCCATAATCTAAGGAGAGGGGAATAAGTAATTCAATTTTAATTAAACATATTTAACTGTCTGCAATAAATCCTTGTAGTTTTCTTTAGGGAAGGCTTGGCTGAAGTGGTGTGCTTTTACTTTTTTTATTGTGGGCTGATTTTCTTTACCTGCCCTCAACCAATCTGAACTGTTATCTACAGATGAGAATGGAAATTTATAGAAACAGTATTGCAGCTGCATGAAAGTAAACTCTAGGATGCCCCATGGCAATCGCAATAGTTAGTAAACTATGCTGTCTAGTAGTTTCATCTGTAGATAGTTTGAGAAGCTAGTATTTTGCATGTTCTAGTTCTTACTTCTGGGCCCCAGTTTCATTACAAATCTGGTTCAGGGAAATAACAAGCATCAGATCTGATAAATGTGAGCTGTGCTTTTTAAATTGAAACTTTGCCATTACATTATTTTCTATCAGTTTTTATCACATACAAAATTGTGTTATGTCACCTTGACTGATCCGGTACAAAGAAACAAGATGAGACACAATGACAGGACACAGTGCTACACATCAGAAACATCATCCATCAGAAATGCAATCTGATGCATTAAGAAAGGGGAGAGTGTGAGAGGGGAAAAGCTAATTTTGGCAGAGACTGGATATGTTGAAAGCAGGTGCTTCTTTTTATCCTCCAAGAGTTTCTTTCTGCGAGTAATAAATCTTTTAATTTTAAATGCCAGTCTGTGTTGTATTTTTGGTGTGTATTTCTGCAGAGGGACTGACTGAGAGAAAAGATGAAGCTGAAAAGTTCACTGGGATTTATTCTTCTATTCCTCTCTAAATGTGATGTGTTGACAAGTGCTGAAGAGGCTGTGGAGCTTGCTAATGCCCACCTTCTCCCTCAAAGAGGCTACGAGAGACTGGGTAACAACAATGAGAAAGGTACTCAGAAGAAAAGTGTGTAGGGGGAGGTACATGTGCTATTTTATTTTATAAGGCTTTACCGTGTGATTTTCCGTCACCTGTAGTATCTGAGGACTTGAGTCATTAAAGTATTTAGGCCAGGGGTGGACCATTATTTCAGCTGGAGGGCCACTTAACAAGTTTTGGTGAGCTGTCGAGGGCCTCAAGGGTAGCCCTGCCCCTTAACAGGTGCCCCACCCCCTGGTCACCATCTTGCAACCAGAAGTCCCGCCCCTAACCCCTGATCTTTGCCACTGGAAGTCCCTCCCCTTGCCCCAGAAGTACCTCTTTTGAGAAGAGGAGGGCTGTCACCTTGATACTAGAAAAAAAATCATATACTAAAAAAAATCAAATATCTACTATAACTTATTTTAATTTTATTTTTAAAATATTTTTGTCCTGATTTATGTGTGTTTGCATAGTGTAGCTAGAGGCGATTGCATACTTGCTCAAAATGCAGTATTAATCTAGTGTATTGTGTTTGGTGGGGTGTGGATCCAGAGTATGTGGCTGTATGTAAGGTGGGGGTGGGAGGTGGGACTGTATGTGCAGGATGTGGGAGGGTGTGGGTATATTTGGGGGTATGGTGGGGAGGGGGGGTGTGGGAGTGTTTGTGAGGGCTGTGGGATGGTGTGGGGGGTTATGGTGGGGGTGGAGTGTGTGGGAGGGTGTGGGTGTGTGTATAGGGGGGTCCTCAGAGTCCCTGGAGTGTGCAAGTCCCTGGATCTGCATGTAGTGGCAGTGAGCAGAGCCATCCCTGCCTGGCCCCACAGTGCACAGGTCCCCGCACTCCCACCCCAGTCCCCAGCCACACATGGTGGCAGGGTGCAGGGCCAGCCCCATCCAGACCCACAGTGCACAGCTCCTAAACTCCTTTAGCATGTGGGACAACCACATAGCACACCCCATGCTCCCAGCCCCCTTTCACCCCTGGTCCTGGCCCAGTGAGGCCATACCTGCATTTCCAGGTTCACAGGCAGGGAGGTTGGAAACAGGCATGAGGCGGCCAAGCAAAAGCCTCTGCCAGGCAGAGGCTCCTTGTCTCTAGTGTCCCTAGCTCGGGGCTAGGGGTGGATCAGGCCCTGGGTGGGGGGGGAAGGGCAGTGGTCCTTTGGCAACCATAGCTGCACTTCCTACATGAAGGTACTGGCTTGTAGAGGGGCAGCCCAGGGCCGGGGCTTACAGACAGCTTATGAAGAGGCCCTGTGGGCTGGATGGAATTACCTGGTGGACTGGATCTGTCCCACAGGCACTTAAGGCCAAATAAATGTAATTGATGTGCCAAGTCTTAACTTAGAGTCTCAAAACCCCTAATCAGCTGCTAATTAATCCTAGAGACACTGCAAGTTTGTAGAAAACAATGTTTTTGTCTGTGACATTCTCTGGTTGTTTAACTGTCTGCCTCTATGTATGACTAGAACTGCCTAAGTCTTAACAGTGCTGAGAAACTTCACATCAGAGCTCCATCAAGATCTACAAACTAGGAATTCCTCCATCTGCCTTGTCTTCAGCAGGTCACGAGGCCATTTCAGTTTCCTCCTCTGGTAGGAGGATTTAAACCTGCATCCTCAACTCCCAGCCTAATGCTGTATCCAGTAGACTTGAGTACACTCTGTCATGGAGCAGTCACAAAATATTTCAGTTAAATTACTTTGGTTAAAATGTAGGAGTAGTTCAATGAAATCTGGGAGGCACTGTCAACAAAAAGGAGGACTGTAATATCAGGACCTGGAGGAGTGAAGTCATAAAAATCAAATAAAATGTGATAGCACAAAGTACCAGGTCCTGCACTTAAGGACTAATAAAAAGATTTTCTGCTATAAACTAGGGTCTCATCAGCTGGAAATGGTAGAAGAGAGGAGAGACTTAGACATACAAACTGACTACAGGAAGATGCTGCTGCTAGGAAAAAGGCAAATGCAACCCTGCATGTATTAAGTGAGATATTTCCAGCAGAGATAAGAAAGTGTCAGTACCACCAAACAAGCTATATGAACTCTCTTCCATAAACTTATCTGAAACAAGGACCGTAGCTATATGCTATACTAGGATTGTCAAGGACATATATCTGTAGAGACTTTGGCAACAGGAAAGCCTTTTTAAACTGCAACCTTAACATTTTTGCTGTGGTAAGATTTTTTCTGTTTAAGAGTCTGAAAAACATGTGTGGCTCTCCTGAACATGAAAACACAGCTCACTTGAACTAGCTTAGTTTCCCAGAAGTAGAATACTCAATTTCATAGTAACCAATTCAGTTCTATACACTGCACCCTAATTCCTATCAATCATTGTCAAAACTGCATAGTAAAAAGCCAGTGAAGGACTGAAAACCCTGGAACTGTTGTAGTCAATTACTAGTGATCCGTAGGCATTTTTCTCATACAGATTGTCAATTTGTTAAGTATTTCACTGAATATAATATAAATATTAAATAATGTAATGGGTTTCCTTTCACTATTATTCATAGAAAAATAGCAGAGCAGTGAAGTACAGTACAGTTTCAATTCATGACTGAGTCACCATATAATGAAATAGACACTAAATAATGCTTATCTTGACAAAAGAGGAATTGATTATATATATATATCAATGCTGGCTTTTTAGCAGTCCCAGAGTTAGCTCAAAGATTATGCCTTGGTTCTTAGAACTGCTTGAAAACAGTATGAGTGTAATCAAAGGTCTTTTTATGGCTCCATGAATGATTTATAACAAAAACTTACACTGAAAATACACCTCGGTGTACACCCAAGGCCTTTCTACTGCTTTAATTCTGCTCAAGTTTTCCCACTACATAAATAACCCATCAGCCTGAAGATTGTGATACATGAGACGAAGAAAAAAGAAATATATTTCCATTTGTTTTCCGGTTTTATAGTACTGATTTCTTGCTAACTTCTGGTCAGAGTGATGGTACCAAATATAAGGAAGAAAGGGCCACATTTTGCTGTTGTCTGACATCAGTATATGGCCACAGTGGGCACATCTGCATGTGCCCCTAACTGCGCAGTAGTTACTGCACAGTTATTTAGTACTTGCTAAAGTAAGTACTAAATGACTGTGCAGTAACAGCTGTTACTGCACAATCCCAGCAGTGCATGGGTCATTTCTGATCCTAGGGTGCAGTAGGAACTCATTGCTAATGCGCAGTAGCATAGGTGTCACAGTTTGTGCTTGCCAGTGCTATGTTGCCCTAGCATCTCACGTAGATGCGCTCAGTATGTTCTGGTCACATATCGATGGAACAAACATTCATACATTCTGGAGGGTGCAGTCAACTATTTAGAAATTACTAATTAAGCAAAGAATTATTTGAAACATACCTTTCTTTTCTCTATTTAGAATATCCAAGGGATTGTTATGAGATTTTTCAACGCTCTGAAAGAAACTCCAAAGATGGTCTTTATGTCATTCAGCCAATGAAAGATCCTATTGTTGTCTACTGTAATATGCAAGATGGTGGCTGGACAGTAATCCAGCACATTACAGCCAATAGTACTGTGGATTTTGATAGGACTTGGGAGGATTACAAATATGGTTTTGGCTCAGTTCATGACAATTACTGGTTAGGGAATGAATACATGCATCAGTTAACCAGCAGCTCAAGGCCATATACACTTAGAGTCAAACTTGTAGACCTAAATGCTGAAATCAAATGGGGAGAGTATGACCCATTCTACATTGAAAATGAAGAGTCTCAATACAGGATAAGGGTTGGTCTATACAAAGGTAATGCTGTGGATGCTCTGACGCAGGACACAGAAGCTTATCTCCATGACAACCAGAAATTCACAACCAAAGACAGAGACAATGATAATTATTTTCAGAATTGTGCTAAACTAGAGTACAATGGCATTCCAGGTGGAGGCTGGTGGTACGATGCTTGTGCTGGAGCAAATCTAAATCGCAAGAATGTTATATACTGGCAAAAGGACTGCAACAAAGACCATATGTGCAAGTTTGCATGGATGATGGTCAAGCCCAGTGACTATGGCCAATGTACCACAAAGGCTTGTCCTTGTCATAAAGATGAATTATAAATAACACAACTACATTTTAAAGGGATGTCATCAATGACACTTGTAAAAAATCTATTTGCTATCTCTTTGCTTATTGGAATCAGTAGGATCACTGTCGGTAGCAAAATTGTTTTCTATGATTAATTCTTTTAGAAACTCTGGAACTAACTTCAAAATTTGGAAAAGTGTTTGAATTTCCTGTTGGTAAGGAGCATTTGAGTCCATTGTTCTGGCTCAACTCATGGCAAAATCAGAGTCAGGTGATGTTTTTCAGAGCTGGGTGTGGTTTTTGATTCTGAATTCCTCCCAAAAGTAAGAAATTTTTTAATCTAGGGGTTTCCATTCATTTTTACTTTGAACTTTTTTACCACGTAAGTACAATAAGGGGTAGGTGTAACTATTTAAATGATCACTTTCAAAGGACTAGAGAGGCATGGGTAAGTAATAAATATTTATTACATTTTTGTAATCTCCTGCCTGAAGACAAAGTCTTTGGTTTGTTTACTATTCTATTAACTGGAACAGAAGATTAAACAACAGACTATTCACAGCTAGTCCATGTGAATTCCAGATTCATTATGAATGGACTGTTTTATAGCTCTTCCTAAATGTTCCTGTTTCTGAATTCAGTCCTGCCTCTCTACAGGCTGGCAGGGTTGGACCTATAGTCCTGACAGTTATCCATTTGTAATGTAGTACATTTGTAAGGACCTAGTCAGTTCACGATTTTGTGGATTTTGCAGAAATTGCGAAATTGGGTAATGTCTGCAAAATCTGAGGAGAAAAAGAAAAACATACTAAAACTAAAATGCTGCCTCCCCAGTGGGAGCCAGTAGTCCTCATGGCTAGCGTAGAAGGGGAAAGGGGGGCTGCTGGTACAAAGGGGAGCAGCCAAGATGGCTGCTGCCCCATGCCCCTTGCTGATGATTGGCTGAGAGGACTGCCTGTTGTCTGACTCCATCCCACTCCATTAATCAGCAGCAAGGCCTCAGCCAATCAGAGGTGTGGGAGGGCACCATGATAGGCTCACAAAAATACCTGCCAGCCCTGTGATCTACCCACGAAATCGGCCATCTGCCTCCTTGATTTAAGTAGGTCCTATACATGCGCTAATGAAAATGGAACTCCCAGCAAGAAAAAATTTGACATTAAAGAGGACTGATACGAAAGTCTCATATTCCATCCATAGAGGGCCATGATATGCATGCAATTCTGAAAAGTTGTTTTTATGTGAGTATGGTTGCAACAAGTTTACAAATACACAGGTTTATATTTTCATGAATTTTGCCAAAGTCCGCAGTAGCACCTATTGGTATGTATGTTGTAGGTATAGTTAAAAGATGCATATCACACCAGTGGTTGCTTGAGTCAGGCAGAAAACAGAGCAGGATTGCACCTTAGAGCAGGGGTGGGCAATTATTTGGGCTGGCAGGCCACTTAATGAGTTTTGGTGACCTGTCAAAGGCCACATCTGTGTCCCCCCTGCTCTGTGTCCCTCCTTCCCTCCCTCCTGGGGCTGTGACCAGTGTGGAAGCCTGAACCCTCTTGAAGCTTTAGCATATGCCACCCCCTCCCCACATGGCCAGAGTCCACCTGCCTGAAGTTTTAGCATGCCCCAACCCACCAGGCTCCGAGTGCAGAAGCATGAATGCGGTCCACAGTTGTAGCATGCCCTGTGCCCTGCATCCCTCCCTGCCTGGAGCCCCAACACAGAAACTGCTGGCCACATTTGGACAACTGGGGATGCAGCCAACAGCTGCCAGGTCCAAAGTAACAGGGTTTGGGACTATGAACTGTATATAACATAAGCTATTCCTTATTTTTATTACACCAGCCACAGTTAATGGTCTTGTCAGCCTTCCTATTAGAAAGTCTTATAGTGTGGGTTTACAATGCTATAAAATTTTTCTCCTAGTTGAAACTTCAGGAACAATTGTATCAATTTTAAAACAAAATGCATCCGGCAAGTTTTGAATTGTAATAAAAAATCTTTATATGAGTATTCACACACTTCTTGTTTTCTTGTAATTTTTAAATGAAATTTTGTGAGACATTATTCCTTCATATTAAGACTTGGGTTTTTTTACAGAATTCATGATGTCCTTCTTAACATTATTCTGAGTTAGGAACAAACCACTAGCTTTAATTAAGATCTGCTAGGTTTGGTTGTGATGGTATTCAGATTTGACATAATTTAAACAAAGGGGCTGCATCCAGACGAGTGCAGCTTTGCGGTATGTGTTGCTGCAAACACGTCTGTGGTGCCACATACCACACATTTAGATGTTCTCCATGCTGTAAGGGCACACACACAAGCAGAGCATGCCGCTCAGAAGTGGAGCTGGGCCGCCTGGAGCCATGCTCTGGCTGCTGGCCAGGCTCTATGTGGCAGAATCACCACTACTGCAGCCCTGAGACCCCAGGTAAGACCCTCAAGGTGCACCGCCACTACTTGCCCCCAGGCAACCAAATGTCCGTGCTCATTTGGACATGCCCAGGGTTTTTCTTTTGACTATGAGTGTGCAATGCAGTGTTATTGTACTGCCTTCAAAAATGTTATTATTAAAAAGTTATATGACTTTTCAATTAATCAGCTTTAAAAGTGTTAATAAAAGGATTTAAAAGTATCTGAAAAATTCTAGTATCTTGTGCATATGAATGCTTCTGTACTTATGTAATTTTTCTCTCTATCACCAGAAGATCTGCCTGGTTGCTTCCTTTTTAAGCAATTTTTTAAATAATACATCGCTGTAGTCATTAAAATATTTTCGTAGTACTTAGGAGTTTTCCTTTAAAGAAGCTTGCAAATTAATCTTTGGCAAACTTTTTCTTGATTTTAAAATGGAATTTCTTGAAAATATTAGAAAACTGATGATAACTTCCATGCAAATTAATTTTCAGCAAAGAAACTGCAGCATGTCAAGGCAGCAGGGGATGCATAGGAATAGAACAGGTGTTAGGTTAATATAATTCATGTGCTTATGCTACAACATTTTTTTTAATGTTCAAAGAAAGAAAAAGAAGCAAGGGGAAGAAAAAACCTGGATTTCAGAGCTGTAAGAAGTAGCGTTTGTGACCAGGGTAAACCCTGAGGGTGAAGTTGTGGGGGGGAGGAAAGAGCGCTGGATGGTGTGATTCTGAGAGTGGGAGGTGGTGCAGGCAGGGAGAGCACAGTGCGGGCTGCAGGCTCTGAGAGTGGGGCTGTGTGTGCATAGGAATCTTACCTATGCCGAGGACTCAAAAACAATTCCCTGTTGCTGCTTCTGCTACTGCTACTTCTCACAGTGTGGTCTTCTCACTGCAGATGTTGCTTTTGTAACAGCAGTAACAAGGTGTCCTCATACCCAGCTGCTGGTGCAAGAGCAATGCCAAGGGGTTTCCCTTGCTGCCAGGTCCCAGACTCCATAGGGGTGAGGGATGCTTCTGGGGAAAGTCTTAAACTGTCATCTGGACCTGGTGCCCCGCTTGTCCACACCTAGTTGCAGTACTGATGGATATTAAGTTGAATTGTCTGTTTCTCTGTAGGACAAAACAATGCAGGGTTTATATAGGAAAAATGAAAATGAATCAACTGTGGCCATGTAATTAATGTAAGGGATCATGTTACAGTGAATTATGGACATTTTACCTTGGAATGAGAACATGCACATGGGTCTTAATGCACCAGCTTCACATCTGGAGTTGATTTGTCTTAGTTTTCCTGAGGGCCTTGTGGTTTCAGTCCCTAAGTAGATGTATCCTCAGAAATCATCTCTGTGGTTAACCAGGGCTCTTAGCCCAGTCCCTTTTACCGTCCAAAAAAAATTCTGACATGGGTTTGGAGCCTTATCTAAGTTTATCCATCAAGGGCTATCGGATGGAACCTGCCCACTTTGAAATGAAGATTCAGGCAAATGACTAAAGTGTTGGAAGTCCTCCCATACCATTCTCCTAAACCCCCTTGAAGGACAGAAAAGTTTTCCCATGATTGATACAGTTGCCTGGGAAACAATCTTAGAGTGTCTCAGCATAAAGGGAGAGGGAAAATGCCATCAGGCGTGCGCTACATGCACACACATGCACACACACACGTGCACGCACACCCTCCCCCCCCACTTGACTGCAGAAACAGTGAGGGCTCATTAATACACTCTTCTTCTGGAAAGCTTGTAACCAGCTTCAGCTAACACAGTTGCACAGACCTGTGTGCCAATCAACTGGGCTAATTGTGCAGTGAAGAAATCTCTGGTGATGAGATCAGAGATGAATGTATCTGTGTCAGAATACTAAAGCATAAAACAGTATATGTGCTGTCAAAACTTTGCACCAAAATATATGCCATATATGCTAATAAAAGGAAGCAGGTGACAATTCACAAACTGGTTAAACAGACAATGACAACAAATATATGAAAATGTGACCAAAAGATTGGACAATTCAAACAAAAAGTGCTTTAAATACGATGGAATGCAATGTTGATAAACAACAAAAAGATGTAATTGGAAATTAATGGACCAAAATTGTCAGAAATTAGGCTTAATAAATGAACAAAATAACAAAGGTGGCCGTTTCCATTCATTACCACTCCTTGTGGGAGGTTTAAAAAGAGAGACTTTGGAGATTAAAATAGTGAAATTGGATTTCCATGGAAAAAGGCCAGCAGATCTCTGCCTAGATTTCCTCACTAGTGAATCTTAATCCCTGGGAGATCTAGAAGAGCACGTCTAAAAATACTCAAGTTCACAATAAGACCAGCAAGACCCAAAACATATGCATGTGAAATCTACTCTGACTTCTTTGCCCTTGTGGGTCCTTCTCTATCTCTCACTGTCTTTCTCCTATTTTATCTCTCTCATGGCTTTTCACCAGAAGCTGAGACTCATCTCACTACACCGCACTAATGTCATTAAAATTTATTAAAAATTGGCTCCAGTCCAAATTAACTAATCCTCACTGAATGAGGATTAAAGTTAATTCAGAGCAGGGTAGTCTGAATTAGGCAATTTAAACTGTATTAATTAACATGTATATATGATGTTGCTTTTAGGAAAAGCAGTCCTAGGAACTTGGATAAGCATTCCTTAGGAATGCAGATA